ACATAACAGATTCACTACAGATTATTACAATTAAGGTATAAAATCAAAGATACAAATTTTAAATGGTAAATAACTATAAAATAAGAAATGAATTCAAATGAACATATATACATATTTAGTCATGTGTACACATTTATTTACATGTATGTGTGAAAACAATGTGTATTTTATGTCCAGTTTGTGTCACATTGTTGACGAGGTTGTAAAAGTCTAAATGGTGATCCATCATCATTTGCTCTAAATCTGGGTTTCGTTGTAATTCGACAACCATGAATCAAGGTTTCCAAAAGAAATGTCACAGTAACAAAACTTGACAGAGTTGTCCGTGCCTTTGTTTCGCCGCGCTTGGACTACTGTAATCCTCTTTACACATCTCTCTCATTCTTGTGTCCTTGCACTGGCTCACAATGATTTTTGGAAATGATTTTAAGATTTTGCTAATAACCTCAGAAGCATTTTTTAAAATATTATATCTCCATCTCCTGTAAGCTTCAGAAAAAAAATAGGATTGGGTGACCCTCCGAGCAAAACTCTGATAGTTTGTTCCACCCTTTACTATTTTGAATTTATAGCAATAGTATAAATGTATAAATATATTATAATATAACTGGATATTTCCTGTAACATCCCTATTTTACTGCAATTAAAAGTTTAATGACAAGTTTGATCAAAATATTATTTTGTCAGATGTCAGTTTGCCAGAGGCCCAAATATTCCAAAAGTTCACAAAATGAACACAATTTGAGGAGCGGAGTGTCCCATATATATCTCATATAGTTTAATTAAATGACATCCAGTGATTGAAAAAGATATACTTTCAATTAAAGAGCTTTAATTGAAAAAGGTCATTTCAGAAACTAAATGTTCTATTAGAAATTCAATTACCTCCCAGAGAAAAGGAATATAATATAATTCTTCATAATGGACTCTGGAATGTAATAAGTCGGCCAATTAACTATTTTTTATTTGATTTAGGTAGATTTTATGATCTTTGTTCACAATATCAATTACACGCAGAGCTTTGTGTAGGCAATGTTCATAATGGCTGCAAATGGCAGAGGAGGAAAGAACCCTTGACTAATTAATGCATCCCTAACCAGCTTTCAATTATAACACAAATCATGCACTAACACACATCTAGGTCAGGATTCTCTGCCTTTGTTCAACATGGAATTTGAATACAGGAAAATTGCCTTTTGCAAACTAAAACGGATCTTTTTTTTAAATGTCAACAATACCCCCTACAAACATTATATTATTGGATGTGTGCTTGTTGGAGGTTAGAGAGGTGCTTTGAACATTGTCAGGTGAATCTTTGCTCCGTCTGGCTGCTTTTACACGTCTGACAGATATCAATCAATCCGCACATGAGGTCAGCTGTTTTAATTTGCTCACGCTGCATCCTGGAAAATGAATATTCAGCACTCTGATGATGAAGCTTTGCTGTTTATGCACACTCAAGACATTCATTCGCTTGCACGTTACTTTTCTCCACAGCACATCTACTGCAACGTAGTGTAGAGGCGGTAACAGGTAGGTGTGCTGAGAACAATCCAATAAAGCAGTAAATATTCATTTCTAGTGTTGCTCTGCAGGACATTTTCCATATTTACCATGGGTAAGTATGGACCGTCTCTGTTCCATACTGGAACGAGAGACATTAGAACAAATTCAGAACCAGTTTGAACAGTTTGAATTCCTCGTGGTCTTTTGACAACAACAAAAAATAACGTCCTAGTTAACAATGTAAATATGCAAGACATATGTTTAAATACCATATACTAATAATCAATCAATTAAAATGTAACTACATTTACTCAAGTAAGTTTCCTATCCGATTTCTGCTCCACTTCT